TTTTTTTTTTTTTTGTGAGGAAATGTTGCTTGTTCTTAATTATTTGAATGTGGCGTGCTCTTAAATTTGTTGTGAGGTAATATGTCAGAGGCATGTAATTTGAAATATGTGAGATTTACGACGGTTAGATTAAAATTGTTATAATTCGTTGTGATTTGTCAATCTTTTTGTCTATCAATCAATTTTAATTTCCTTATTTTAAAATATATATACTCATGTTCATTAAGAAATTACACACTTTCGACTTCTCAAGATTCATACAACATCCAACGCCCATAATATGCTCTTCCTGGTTTATCTTCATCCTTGTGGGTATATATATTGACTGTTAGATCCAACGTTAATATGTGATTGTAGTTTACTCGTGGCTCTAACTTTGATCACATTTAAGAGAATAATATTTTTTCTTTTGGGTAACATTTAGATTATTAATATGTTTAATATCACCAAAACATGATATGTTGAGCACGCCCTTGATGAGAGTAATTACTTATGGGCCATTGATGTCGATATTCACCTAGCTTCATTTGATTTAAGTGTCACAATAGATTCTACACCTCAAAGTGCTCCCACAGATAGGGCGAAGTCATTGATTTTCATCGTCACCATCTCAATAATGATCTGAAAAATGAATATCTTACACAAAAAGAGCCTGTCAATCTTTGAAATCTCTAAAAGATCGCTTTGACCAAAAAAAGGTCATAATCCTCCTTCAAGAACAATTTGACTAGCTTAATATTATATTTTAAGATTTTAAATCCGTTACATAGTATAGTTTGGCTCTACATCTTTTGGAGCTCAAACTTTGCAAATAGAACATTACCGAGGTTGAGTTGCTGAAAAAACTTTATCAACTTTCATGCTAACAACCTCGTACATCAGCAGCTGTACAAGGCAAAGAATTATGCAACCCATTCAGAGTTAATTTCAGTCTTGCTTGTGACCGAAAAACACAATTAGTTGTTGACGAAAAATCATAATGCTAGGCAGTTGGAACTCAAGTTGTGCAAGAAGCACATGTGAGTACTCACGAGCATCATAATGTGCGAGGGAGAGGTCGATGATATCATACACAGCCACTCCGTGGTGGTCATGGTTGCGATCGTGGTCGTGGCCGTGTTTGGACTCGAGATGGATGGCGAGGTCATGGTGTTGGGGTCCTGGCAGGACGTAGAGAAAACTTGGATGTTGAGACGTATTATTTAAATCGACGCAATTACATCCACAACATAAAGAGCGAAAGCAAGTTTGCTTTAGATGTGGATACGATGGTTGTTGGTCCCGCACATGTCGTACTCCTCGACATCTAGTTGAGGCCTATAAAAGAATGTTGAAGGATAAGAAAGGAAATTTAGCCATAAATGATGATGATGATGATGATTTATTGAAGCTTGAGTTCGAGGACTATAGTGATAGTGTGTGATTTCATATATATTCTATCAGTTGTGTATTTCCACCATTTTATGGTGTTAGGACCTTCATCTTACATCTAGTCTGATTTTCAATTTGTATTTTTCGTGTAATGAAGACACCAAGAACTTCATCATTCGTCTTCATAGTGTACACCCAAAAACGTATGAAAAATTCATCGATGAAAGTGCCAAAATAGCGTCTTCCGCCTAATGTGGTGTCTCAGAAGGACTCCAAACATCCGAATGAACATAATCTAGGACATTTTTTGTATTATAGATAGTCGTACCAAACTTCACACTCTTTTGCTTTCCCATAATACAATTCTCACAACAGTCTAGTTTGCATACCTTGACAACTTTCAGCATTCCTTGTTTTGTCAATGTTCGCAAAGATTTTTCACCAGTATGTTCCAACCGCATATACCACAATTTGACTGCTTCAGACCCCTTGTTGTTGGAATCTGTTACTGTTATTGTCCCAACAATTGTATCACCTTTATGGTAGTACATATTATTCGTCTTCATGCCTTTCATCACCACGAGCGAGGCGGGTGTAGCCTTCATAACTCCATATCGCAAAGTCCCTTCCAAACAATTAGACTTCAAGGCTCCTAATAAGATAATATTTGTCTTCAGACTCGGCACACATTTGAACGTCCATCAAAACTCTGGTGGATCCATCAAGATTATTCGAAAGGATTGAACCTATCTCGGTTGTCTTACGGGCATTATTATTAGCCACATAGACAACTACTCTATTGATCTCTTGGAAATTGAAGAACCACTCCCTTATGGGACATATGGTAGGTGCATCCTGAATCCAAATCCATTCGTCTGGATGAGATAATGAAATTGATGCCACAAGTGAAAATTATGAGTTTTTACTTCTACTCTCGACAATATATGCTTCTTGAGAAGATTTGCCCTTCTTCTTAAACTTAGGACAATATTTCTTCAAGTGTACCTTCTCATGGAAAAAACACGCTTGTCTTTTCAAGCTCGACATTGAAACGTGATCTTCCTCGTCTATTTTTCTTTTGCCCCTTCGACTGACCTCTTGCAACCAAAGCTTCATCTTTTGCTGCTACATTCTTCGTCTTTTATTTGTTCTTCTTCCTCAACTTATAGATATAAAAAACTGACTACTGCAAGATTTACATTGTCCTTGTCATAGAGCATGGTAGTATCCAAGTGCTCGAAGTCATCTGAAAGTGATCATAACAACATTATAGCCAGATCTTCATCGCTGAATGTGATGTCGAAATTCAACAAAGTTGTAACCAACTGATTGAATGCAGTGACGTGGTCATTCATCGATGTGCCATGTCGGTACTCCAATCGGAACAATCATATCTTTTTGAGAAGCTTATTATGGCCACTTTTCTTCAGAAATTCATCCTCCAAAGCCTTCAATGAGTGTGAGTAGAGTTCTCATTGTTAACATGTACTTTTGATCCCTGGACAAACATCAACTGATTGTTTCACATGCTAAGCGGTATATTCTTTTACTCATTGTCATCAATGTCGTTGGCTTCTCTTCAATGGCAACGTCAATGTCTTGCTGAAATAGACAATCAAGTACCTCGCATTGCCACCTGCCGAAATGACAAGTCCCATCGATGATCTCTACCGGAAGTCTGATGTTCGACATCACCGTCTTTGTCGGACATAGTACAGACGATGATGCGCCCTTGACCTCATTGGACATCTTGAACTTGAATGCATTGCCTATCTCAACTAATGAGCCTAGGACGAACCTTCGGCTCTGATACCACTTGTTGGGTGTAGAACAACAAGCGCAACAGACAAAAAATCTCATACAACAAATACGAAAAGCACTACTCCTAACAAAAATAAGTCAACACAAATATATAAAAGACGAGAATGAAAAAAAATACACAAAATTATACTTTTTTGAGGTAGCTGCTTGCTTTTTGTTTGGCTTTTGTTTAGTGGGAACAACTTAGTTTGTTTATTTTGTGTTGGTGGTAGTGTATTTTGTTTTTGGTATTTTGGTTCTGTTAGTTTGTGTACTGATTTTGTTGTGGTTTGTTTTGTCTGCTTTGTCTTTTGCTAGGTTATAGCCTATTTTTTTTATCCCCTTTGGTTGTTATTGTAGTCTCAAAGGGAGTGATTGTATCTTTCAGATGGTTTCTTGAAGCAATATGATCTCATTTCATATTTGAAAAAAAAAAATGTATGCAATTTATTCGATTCATTGATTAAATCGAACCCAAGAAATGAAAAAAACTTGCAAAAAATAAACAATACCATAATATAGTAAAATAAAATTGAACCAAAACTTTTCATTACTAAATGAACCGAACCAAATTGCAACAACTTACATAATTTGGCTCGAATTTTTGGTGTCGGCTCACTTTTGTTCACAGGTGGACTAATGTATAGTTGAAGGTAGGGCTGAGCACGGGACTCGGAGATTACCGAACCGTTCTGAAAACCGAACCGAATTCACCCCGAGTCGAAAAATATCCGTTGACCGTTTGACTATATCCGAACCGAACCATACTGAAAAATAGTTGGTACGGTTTTGGAGATTCATGAAATATCAAAACCGAGAAATGAACCGAACCGAACCATACTGAACCGAGAACCGAACTAGAACCGATTTTAATTCATAAAATTCATATAAATATAATATTTTATCTTATACTTTATTTTCATTTTTGTACAAATTTGTATTTATAGTTGAATTGCAGATAAAATCCATATACATCAGGACTATGTCCATAAACTATCATATATTATATTTAAAATTAAATTGCAAAAATCCTCCACTGTTAAATATTAATATAATTAAATACTTAAAAAATAAATAAATTATTTTATTTTCTTACTGCATGTGAGGCATTAGTTTGAAGAAAATTAAATTATTTTACTTTTTTTTTTATCACAAATTTTGGTAACAAACATGTGTATAATTGTATATGTTTCATGTGTAAAATTGTATATGTTGCTGTAAATACCCAACATTCATTGTCTATCAAATTGCTTCTGGAGGGCTTATGGAATATGGACCATGCATTAGAAATGGAGTTCAAGTTTGTATGGGGTTCTTGTTTCACGAAGAATATGAAAGTTCGCGTTGTTGTTTTTTGTTTGATAACTCGTTGGGACTTGTATGAAACCCTACACTTATTTTTTGTCATTTTGAACTTTTACTTGATGATGTAATTGTGGTTTGTGAATTATAGGACTTGTATTTAGAATTATGGGATGTGAACTCTTGGATAATGTGTGTCTTAGTACTTAGTAGCACTTGATCTACAATTAAATTTTTTTATACTTAATATGATGAAGTATTTATGAATGTTGAATTTTTTTTCTAAAGCATATAAATTAAAATATAACTAGATAGTCCCAAATAGCGAACCGAACCAAATCGAACCGAACCGTTCCGATAGTCTCGAATACCAAACCGAACCGAACTGAATAATAAAAATCTCCGAACCGAATCGTCCTGATTTTTTGGTACAGTTCTGGAAATCGAATTTAGCGATCTCCGAATTTTGGTACGGTCTGGAGATTTGTCGATCTCCGAACTGTACCGACCCATGGTTAGCCCTAGTTGAAGGACAAAGGTGTTACATAATTTGGAGGTGGACACACGGACATTTAGACGCGCGTGCGGGTATTAACTCAACCCCCTCCTGATAACGTGAGCGTGTGGGTGACGCGCCGTTAACTCAGACCCTTTGTATGCTTGGGATTTTTCTGATTTATCTTTGCCTTTGCCCTATATTTCACGCCCCGCCTTTGCTAATTCCGTGCGCCTTCAAGCAGTCAATCGAAAGGGTTTCTCTCTCTAGCTCTCTCTCTCTTAAGCATCTCTGTTCCTCATTTCGATCATCAATGGCTGACAAGACTGAGTTCGATTCTCGCCCAAATCAGATCCCGAAAGGTCAATTCTTGGGTTTTCTCGCATTCTTCGTTTAGTGTCTGTTGGATTGTGTTTTCGTTTTGATTGATTTAGTTTTCTGCAAAACCCTAATAACCGGGTCTCTCGCATTCGTGGCGTTGTTTGTGGTTTAGGGTTCTTATTTTAAATTGATAAAACTTTCTCTCTCTCTCTCTCTCTCTCTCTCTATCTTTTGTGATTAGTTTCTCCATTTTGAGAATAGGGCTGTTCGTAGTCTTTTGGATTCCCATTTTCCAGATGTTGATTAGCTGTTTCGCTGGCATTTTTATATAGCAGGAATATTTTTTATCTCAGTTTTTGGGATGCAGCTGAGTGTTTCTTGTTTTAATGATAAAGTTGCTAAATTTAATGATAAAGTTGCTAAATTTATTGTATGGTTAATATGGGGTCTGGTTTATCGTATGATACTTTCTAAAAATTTAAAATTTACTCGTCTAAGTTCATAAGCTACCTATGTGTAATATGCTTATAATATCAGTAAAATGAGTGTGTGCGTTTTAGATATACTAAATGCTAATGTGTGTAAGGTTCCATTGCTGTTGTCATTTCCTTTTTTCTTTTCATATGTTCCCTGGGCATTTTGTGATTTGACCTTCAGGATTGGCGACAACCTTTTGAGTGTAGTCATGCCTAGCTGATTACTTGCCATATGATGCTTCCATCTCTTACAGGCTAATGGTGCCCAGGAGAGTGTATTGTGATATAAATTACTGTATAAATATACTAAGAAGAAGAACTACAAAAGTTGATTTGTTAAAGCTTTACATTTTATTAGTATTTTCAACATGTCTGAAAGACTTAAAAATGTGGTTGGCTCAGATTAATTTAAAGCTCATAGAAGTTGCTGTACTGTTCTTGAGCTTATTAGATGGTGCACTTAATAATAATACGCATTTGTGGCACTGTTTCTTTACTGTTATAAAGTTTAAGACTCCCTTATTGCAAGAGTTCCATCTTACCTTGATTTTTCTTCCTGATAGTGAAGATGTATTCGGTGTGATTACCGTAAAAGAAATAATAAACTCACTCCAACATGCAAAGATATTTACCAGCCTCAATTTGTTTTTGGTTTGCGTTTTATTCATCGAAGGTCCTATTTCTTTCTCTTCCTGATTAATGCAGATATGCAAGGACCTGACAATGGCATCCCGCTTTCACCTCAGTGGCTTCTGCCAAAGCCAGGGGACAACAAGGCTGAAGCTGTTACCGGGGTTTGTTGTGATCTATCTTTTTTTTTTATTATTTAATAGCTAATTATTTTCTTCTGAATCTGGTTAGATTTTTGTTTTTAAGAACGTCGCTGTCTATATGCCTCATTTTACATTTTATTTTAATTCATTTTTTTTATAGGAGAACCATTTCAGTTCTCTCCCGGGTCATGCCAACCGTCCTGTTGCTGTGAAACCAACTGGAGTGGGAGATGATTCGGTTGATAACCCTAAGAAGAAAGATGTTTTTCGTCCTTCGGTGCTGGACATGGAGCCTGGCCGCAGGGACCGCTGGCATGATGAAGAAAGGGAAACGAATTCATCCACCCGCAAGGACCGCTGGAGGGAGGGTGAGAGAGATCTGCACCCTGACAGCCGCAGGGCAGACCGCAAGCCCGACCCATCTGGAGGGAGGCACTATGGGGAAGCACGCAGGGCCCCAGGCGAGCGGTGGACTGACTCGGGAAACAGAGATAATCATGATCAGCGCCGTGAGAGCAAGTGGAACACCCGGTGGGGACATGATGACAAGGAAGCAGACCCGGCGCGCGAGAAGTGGGGATACTCGGGCAACAAGGAGGATGATGTTTCCCTTGATAAGGGGCCGACCCAAGCTCCTCCTTCTCATGGGAAGGAAGAGAGGGACGGTGGGGAACACTATCGGCCGTGGAGGCCAAATTCTTCCTACAGCCGGGGTAGGGGTGACCCTCATCACCAGACCTTGACCCCCGGAAAACAGGTTTCCACCTTTTCTCATGGCCGGGGGCGCGGGGAAAACCCAGCTCCTGTTGTGTCCCATGGCAGGGGAAGGGTTGGCTCTGGGGGGAATTTGGTTACCCACACGGCCAATCATTTGCAACCACGTGGACCTCTTATGGAGAAAGGTGAAACCGGCTATGGAGCGCCCTGTCGTCTGACTTATAGCAGGACAAAACTGATTGATATATACAGGACAACTGATATGACAGGTTACAGACGTGAGTGTTTAGAGGGTGTCGCCCAAGTACCTTCACTTACTCAAGAAGAACCTACCGAACCACTGGCTTTTTCTGCACCAACTCCTGAAGAATTGGTAATTCCCTTTTTTTTTTTTTTTTTTCCTTGAAGGAGGTTGGATATACTGTTGGTTTTTAATTTGATTGCAAGGGTTTCTTCTTGGTAGGCTATTCTGAAGGGAATTGACAAAGGAGAAATCAATAGTAGTGGTGCTCCACAGGTCAATAAAGATGGATCTGCTGGCCGTACCACAACTGAGTTAATGCAAACGAGAAGAAACAGGCTAGGTAATGCACATATTATGTTCTACTTGCTTTTAGCTTTTTTTGTTTTTCATGTTATCTTTTGCCTAGTCTTGTTGTTGAGTACCCTCACTCTTGTTTTTCTGCTGCTTTGATTGCCTTGAGCAGGCGGTGGTAAGGATGACTTGACCTTTCCTATGGATGATTCAAAATATGGCACTCCGAGCAATCCTGATGGTTACTCAGACTATTCGGAAGCTCCTGTGCATGGAAAACATATTCATCGATGGCCCAATGCGAAAGTTGAGACAATGCAAGAGTATAGGACCTCTTCTAACATATTGAATGTTGAAGGTAAATCTGATGGTTGGTTCATTTTTCTTGTTGGAGACTATGCAGCGAAGTTAGGTTGGATTCTGAAAATTGACATTGTCAATTCTTTAATTAGCAATTAATTTGCAAATCAATCAAAGTTGTCATTCCCACATCTTCACCGAATCATTTGTTGACAATTCTGTAGATTGCGTTACTGCATCTGTTATGGATCTACTTTACCTGATATTCCATTTCCAGCATTTCGTTCTAACCTGATATCTTTTAGTGTTTATTTTTAATGGCTTAATCATCTCATTATTATTTATATTTTCGTTTGTATTCAGCTTTAAAGGAAGACGGTGTTATTCATAGGAAGAATGATGATGGTTCTGCTGCCAGAGAATCTAGTACGCCGGAAAATTCTTCACTTCGCACTGGTTCTTGGAGATCTTCATCTTTTACAGAAAGCTCACGTTTAGCTTCTGATTGGAGAGAAGGCTCTCTGGATATGCCAAAAGATCGTAACAATGTTTGGCAGAACAGTATGATTGATTCACCTAATACCAATAAAGGAGCACCCAGATGGCAGGTGGGTGACGATCCAATTTTGGGAAGGCAACCACCTGCAGCTGTCAACAGAGATATGGAATCACATACAATTTCTCAATCTTCTCCTGAAGACTTGGTTCTTTTCTATAAAGATCCTCAGGGTGAAATTCAAGGCCCTTTTACTGGGAATGATATCATTACATGGTTTGAGTCGGGATATTTTGGCATTGAGTTGCAAGTTCGTCTGGCCAATGCTCCGGTTGACTCCCCCTTCTATTTACTTGGAGATGTGATGCCCCATTTGCGTGCCAAGGCTCGGCCACCTCCTGGATTTAATACCCCCAAACCAAATGAAATCCAGGACACCTCTGGCAGATTAAACTATACCAATGTTGGGAATTTACATGCGGTTGTGGGTGAAGCTGATTTGTTACAAAATGATTCGAGATATAAACAGGGTATGGGTTCCACAACGGAGGCTGAGAATAGGTTTCTAGAGTCCTTGATGGCTGGCGGTATGAGTACAACTCCATTTGAAAAGCTTGTTCTTTCAGAAGGTTTGTTTATTTTCGTTAGTCACTAAGTTTTTGTTTTGTGATAGTATATAACATATTTCTCCTTGAAATGAGCGGGTCGTTTTAAACAGGCATGCAGGGGTATGCTGGAGCTAATTTTATTGCACAGCCTCCATTGGGAACAAACAGTGGGGAAGACCCATATTTACTGGCTAAGAAGTTGGCATTGGAGAGGCAGAGGCCTGTACCAAATCCTTATTCACTTTGGCCTGCGAGAGATGCAGCTACTGTTACAGACAATGCTCGAGTACAGCATCTTACACAGAATATGGAGTCACTGCCTGCCCATCCAGGATTACTTGACCGACCTGTACCAGCTGCCAACAATGGAGCTAGTGGTTGGATGAATTTCCCGGCCCAATTGGGTTTGGACCCACTTCAGGATAAGTTGGATATTCGTCATGCACAGAATATTCCTTCACAATCTGCCCTTGGTATATTGCAGCAGAGGCTACAGCAGCCACAGAACACACCCTTGGGTAATCTATTAGCCCAATCATTGGATAATTCATCTAGGATAATTTCTCCGGAGAATCTTCTTGCTTCCGGAATTCCTCAAGATCAGCAGATTTTAAGTTTGTTGCAACAACAGTATTTGCTACAGCAGGTTCAACCCCAGGCCCCTGTTGCGGCCCAGCAGTTGTCACTTTTGGATATGATGCTTAAGCAGCAACAGAAGCAGGAAGAGCAGCAACTGTTAATGCGCCAGCAGCAGCAGTTGCTCTCGCAAGTGCTGTCCGAGCGTCAGCTGAATAAACAATCAGGCGAGCCTTCGTTTGCCCAGCTGCAGCAAACTGGTGGTTTTGCAGCGGGAAATGCTAATGTGGATCACACCCATTTTCAACAACATCATGATATATTTCAGACTGGTTCACAGGTGCAAGCTCCTGACATACGAGATGATACTGCAAATGATGCTGGTTTTGTTATGTCTCCTAATGATCCTCAGGATGTGAGCCGAAATATAGGGCCAGAAACTTCAGAAAGTTCCATGCATCTGCCACATCAGATTTTTTCTAATATCCCAAAGCAAAGAGACTGGAATGATGCTCCTGCTGCAGACAAAAATGTTGAGCCGCCAAAGGATCTTTCAAGCACGACAGATGACAGGGAACATTTGGGGAAATCTGTCCCACTGAAGCAAAATACAGTTGATCATAAAAATGATTCAGTATTTCATGAAGCTTTGGATGCAATCACTAAGGCTCCGACTGGAGAATTATCCGAACAGGGTGGAAGTGAAGAACAGCACACTGCTGATTCCTCTGTGGTAAAGCAAGTTAAAGTCCCTGAAGCACGGGTTAAGAAGTCGAAGAAGCAAAAGTCTTCTTCCAAGGCTCCGGTTGACTCAGTAAAGGGTGGCGTGACCAAGTCACAACAGTTGAAGTCATCGGAATCTGAAGGAGCGGCCTCCAATTATGCAAAATCAGAGACACTTACTGCCCAAGGAGATGCACTTGCAGCATCTGCAACAGAAAAGGAGAAGGCAAAGAACAAAAAATCAGCTGAGGATGTGGGGCTCCTACCAGGCCAAAACTCATTTCCTGCTCATAATTATGCAGATGGTGTTGTAACTACTGAGACAAATGCTCAGCCAGGGCAAGTTGCACATGTTTCACAGGTCAACACGCAAGCAAATACTGGTCAACGGGCATGGAAACATGCCCCTGGTTTCAAGCCAAAATCACTACTAGAGATACAACAGGAAGAGCAGAGAAGAGCACGGGAACGGGAGGAAGCGGCAGTTTCTGATATCTCAACTTCTCTAAGCTCCATGAGCGTCTCATCCCCTTGGGCTGGAGTAGTTGCAAATGCAGATTATAAGGCATTGGAGGAAACCCGGCAGGAACCCCCCAGCACAGAGATAAACTTCACCAAGTCTGACAGCTCCTCTGTCCTGAAGAACGATAATAACCAAAATGAAGATCTGTTCTGGGATACTAATGTTTCCAAATTAGGTGACAGAGAACTAGAGACGATCAATAGTCGGGTGCCTTTAACATCAATAATGAGTTCCCAAACTGATCCTGTCGTTGCTGATGACTTTATTGATGCTAAAGATACTAAAAAGAGCCGTAAAAAATCTGCCAAGGCTAAAAAGGCGGCTCCCGTAGTTACTGCCACCGACGTGTATGTTGGATCAAGTCCGAGTGATAAAGGTAAGCTTGCTCGGCAAATGCAACAGCAGAAGGAAGTGCTGCCTCTTCCATCTGGCCCTTCCTTGGGGGACTTTGTTACCTGGAAGGGGGAGTCTGCTAGTCCTCCTGCCCCTGCTTGGTCTGATTCTGGAAAACTAGGTAAACCCGCATCATTGAGAGACATCCTTAAGGAGCAGGAGAAAAAGGTTTCTTCTTCACAGCAGGTGCTAACTCCTCAGAAGCCTGCAACAAATCAACCTGCTCGTGCAAGTGTTCCTTCATGGTCGCATTCTTCTTCCCCTGCAAAGGCTGCGGCTCCAGTGACTAAATCACAAGCTTCCTCCCAGTCAAAACATAATAAAGTTGAGGATGATCTGTTCTGGGGACCACTAGAGCAACCGAAGTCAGAAGATAAGCAGTATGATTCTTCATTCTTTCATCTTCTAAGAGATTTTATTACCTTGATCCTTGATGCTTGCATTGGAAATATTGTTTCCTGTTTTGTTTTTATTTTTTGAGATTTACTATTTGTTTGATTGCGTATTTAATATTTATTGCCTCCACATAATTTTGCACACAGTACATAGTATTCTTGTGCTTACACAGAAACCTATATATTTTCTGAAGAATGGTTATTTTATTAAGGTGGGGCTTGTCTCTCCCTCCCAAGTCCTTTAACATGAGATGATTACTAAATTAATAGCATAATAGCTTCAGAATGACTTTATTCAAGTTCTATGTTAGAAATCTTATTTTTCCTTGTTGTACATGTTTTTTTGCACTTTGTTTTTTTTGTTTTGTTTTGTTTTGTTTTGCACCTCACTTCAGTAAGTCATTCACGTTGCTTCCAAGCTCCTCGTGCCCTTGCTCTTCAGGCTCACTATTAGCCTGATGTTGAATCTGTTGAAGTAGATAGATGTTGTCTAGACTGGCCTCTGAGTGGATGTTTTTAACCAAGTATCCTTCAGTTGATCCTGGCTAGTTATATGCCTTAATTATGTCGTATTCTTGACCGTCAGAAGGTGCGAATGAGGGTGATGAGTAATTATGTTCCATCTTCAAACAATTTGGTACTTCCGGTCGAAATTAGTTTCCAACTTTGCATGCAATGCTGTGATATTTGCAATCATGAGTGTTATAAAGGATCATATGACCTTGCGTGTGTGTGTGTCTCATTTTTAAATAAAATTGTCTACCTTTTTTGTTGTGTACTAACGGGCATTGTCTCGCTTGTGTTGCCTTCAGGTCCGAGTTTCCTCAACTCGGAACACAGGGAAGTTGGGGAAGCAAAAACACCTCTGTGAAGGGAAACCCTAGCGGGATTTTAAACCGACAGAAATCTACTGGTGGCAAAGCTGCAGATTATCCGTTTTCTGTTCCAGCTTCCTCGGGTCAATCATCCCTCAAAGGAAAGAAAAATGCTACTACCAAGCATTCAGGTAAAAGATCATTTTGGGCGGTTGACTTGGTTTTCCTTTTTAATAAGAAACATAAAGGGGCAATAAAATATATTTTGTACTGTCTGTTACAGAGGCTAGTGACTTCAAGGAATGGTGTGAGAGCGAGTGCATTAGACTCATCGGATCCAAAGGTACATAAATTAACTACGTTTTGCTGTCTGTTTTGTTTGCTTATAGATTTAAATACCTATCAAGTAACTTTGCTATACGGTCAAACTGCCACATCGCTCAATTAGTTCCTTTGGTCCTGATCAGTTTCTTTAAATACAAACAATTATATTACACATGAATTTGTTCAGAATATTTCCTTACTGTCATCTTCAATCTGCAATGTTGATTTTGTGCTAAATTGATCACATATTACCATTTTTGCTCCTGTCATTAGATACAAGCATACTTGAATACTGTCTGAAGATATCGAGGTCTGAGGCGGAGACACTACTGATAGAGAATCTTGGCTCGTTTGACCCAAACCATGAGTTTATAGACAAGTTCCTGAACTACAAGGATTTTCTGCCCGCAGAGGATGTCGAGGCTGCTTTCAAGAACCGGAATGATCGAAAAACCTCTGCCAATCTGAGCGGTGGGGACATGCTTTCTGATTCATATCCTGATGTCTTTGGTGGGACCGGTGCCGTTGATGGGGGCACCACGAAAGCAGGAAAAAAGAAAGGGAAAAAGGGGAAGAAAGTGAGCCCGGCGGTCTTGGGGTTCAATGTTGTGAGCAACCGTATTATGATGGGTGAGATTCAGACGGTGGATGAGTAATGAGTTGATTTAATTGATGTTAGTGTACATACATTTTGCTCGAAGGGAGTGAGTTGACTCGACTGTACATGTTTTTCTGGTTGCCAGATGATTTTTTTTTTTTCTTTTCCCTTACAACTTTTGTCTTTAGAGAAGATGGTGCAGCGGCTCTAGTATGCCTGCCTTGGGGAATTTTGCTGAAGTTTGTTTTAAACTTTAGTTTGGTTGGTTATACCTGTGTTGTAGTTTATACAGGGTTTTTATTATGTATTATTTAGGGATATTGTAGTCTTCTAGACTCGTTCTCCTAATCTTGTCATTACCCTTTTATATGATATTTTCATCCAAGGTTTTTGTAATCTTGGGTTTATGGATAACTGATAATTACTGTTTTTGTCTCTTGGTTGCATTTTGGTTAGTGGTTCAGCTGCATTGGATACCACCATCGAATATTGGTTACCATTTACCAAGGAGATCATCCCTTAATGGCCCTAGAAAATCTCAGCCTAACGTGAGCTTATAGTTGCTTGAACATTCATGGTGTATGCGCGAGATTCGTAGTGTAGAAGTTCATGAAGAGTCGAGGAGTGGCTCGAAAAAGTATATGAATGAAGAGGCTAGGAAGGGGTAGCCTATGGGTCAAACACTTGCTACTAGGGGTGTTCATCAGTCGGTTCGGTTGTCCTAGCCGATCGAACTACTAAAACCGAACTAACCGACTCGCAATTTTTCAGAAATTGAACAACCAAACCGAAAAATTCAGTCGGTTTCATCGGTTAACCGAATTTTAATATTAATTCAAAATTTACAACAACATTTCAGATGGGAGAGACGGGACGACTGCTTTCCGATTTCTTTAGGGTAAATATTATATATTACAATATTATATATATGTAACCAGTTCTACATCCTAAGCATGGTGGCAAATTTGTATAGAAATATTGGTAGTTTTTGTATAATAGTTAATATGCATCAAATCCTCCCGTTTTATGGCTTGAAGCTAATTTAGATAATATCAATGGAGTTAAGGTTTATGACTAGTGAATTATATATATTTTCTCTCTGCCCAGTAAAAATTATATTTCAAAGTTGTATTAAGTCTTTACTGAAACTGTGCTTGACGATGAAAATTAAAATTACTTTGGAGGCCTTAGAACTTCATGATGCCTACAATCTAGAAGAAAAATTCTGGAGCAGAAAGCTAGAATTACATGGCTGAAACTAGGGGACAAAAACACCAACTTCTTCCATGCCCAAACTCTTCAGATATGGAGGAAAAATCACATTGCCAGATTGATAAGGGAGGATAACTCCATATGTGAGAGTAGAGATGCCATTTCACACTGCATAGAGGACCATTTTAAACATCTCTTCACATCAAAGGGAACGAGAGCTATACATCATCATCTACAAGAATTAGAGCTGTTATAATTGAGGCCATGAATCAAGAACTAGTTGCAAAAGTGGAGAGGGAGGAAATTGAGGAGGCCCTATAAACATTCATCCCAACAAAACACCAGAACCATATGGTATGACATTCTTGTTCTTTCATAAGTTCTGGTCTATTGTTCACAATGATGTTTGCATCTCTATTTTGAGTTTTTTCAACTCGGGCAAAATTATGAAAAGTCTTAATTATACTCTAGTTACACTCATTCCCAAATGTGAATATCCTTCCAAAGTTAAACAATTCAGACCAATAAGCCTTTGTGGGGTAGTCTACAAATCTATCTCTAAGATAATTGCTAATAGGCTTAAAAATCACCTCTCAGCTTGTATAAGTGAACACCCGACAACTTTTGTCTCCCCACAGACAGATAACTGATAACATCATCATAGCTCAAAAAGTCCTTCACTACGTTAAAAACCTTAGGAAAGGCAAGGATTTTTTTATGGCTAGTGTGAGCTTGCTTTTGTTGAAACTTGGTTTCCATTAGTCCTGTGTAGTGTGGATAATGTCTTGCATTTCTTCTAGTTCTTTTTCTTTTAATCTTAATGGAGAACCCTGTGGTTTTGTGACCCCTTCTAGGGATATGTGACAGGGTGACCCCCTTTCTCCTTACATATTTATATTGATCTCTGAAATTTTCACTTATTTGATTAATTTTGCAGTCCAGAGGGGTTCCCTAAAAGGTATTAAGCTTGGTATTAACATCCCAACCCTTACCCACCTTTGTTTTGTAGATAATACATTTCTTTTTGCAAAAGCCTCTCCTGAACAGGCTTTTGTCGATCTTGATATTCTTCAGATCTATTAAAGCATCACTAGCCAAAAGGTCAATCTTAACAAATTCAACATTTTCTTTAGTAAAAATACTCCCCAACCAGTTCAAGATTCTTTTTGTACCATTATCTTTGGAATTTCAGCCCAAACCTCTACCAAATACCTTGGACTGCCCTTCGGTATTGGAAAATCCAAGTTTGATACTTTTGCCTTTATGGAATATTCAGTTAAGGAAATGAATTTAAACTGGAAGTCCATATTTCTTCTTTTGCAAGTAGAGAAGTTCTCCTAAGATCTTCCCGAAGGAATAAATCAGACCAACACTTTGCTAAGTTATGGTGAAGTCAGGGGGATACAACCAAACAAAGGTTGCACTGAAAATCTTAGAAATACATCACCCTTCCCAAAGATAGATGAGGTCTGACATTCATTGACCTCCATCTGTTCAACAAAGCCATGATTTAAAGTAAACTTTGGAGGATTGTGTCACAACCACAACTTCTTGTCAGTAAACTCCTCAAAGCCAGATACTTACCTAAAGGAAGTTTCTTGTCAACCACTAAAAAACATAACAACTCCTGGTTATGGAGCAGTTGCCTCAAAGTCAAGGAGGATTTTTCTAGTGGCATCATATACAAAATCAACAATGGATGCAAGGTTCATATCTGGGATGATCCCTAGATTCCAAACATCCCAGGCTTTAAACCAATAGTCACAAACCCAAGGAGTAATGAGTACACTCATGTTTACCAGCTTTTAGAGGATGTGGCAGGACTTGTGATAGGAAAATACTAAGGGATTTATCACTGAGCAGGAGCAAAAAACAATACTTAGTATTTGTAATTTGAACCCTGTCATAGAGGACAAGTTTATCTGGGATTGGGAGAAAAAATGGACCTTCTATGTTGCTTCTATCTATGCTGCACTAGTAGAGGAAAAGTGAAACACCTTGGATTTGCCTGAATCTAGCACTCACCATAAGGAGGCCAAGGTTGCTAGAAAAAAACTATGGAGTCTCCAATCAAAGGTAAACTCAAGCATTTCCTTTGGAGAGGTGTCAACAATACAATTCATGTCAGTAGTAATCTTCTGAGAATAGGTCTAGACATTGATCCAATCTGCAAAATTTGTGGGAAGCTCATGAATCCCAGGAACATTTGTTCTTTCACTGCTCGAGATCACAAAGGATTTGGAAATCAACACATGTTTCTTGGGAAGGTCTACACTTGGAGACTGACAACTTGAAAGCTTGATGGTTCAAAATCTGCTTCTTAAGCTCCTCAGGCTTTACAAGCAAAAGAATTCAACTAACTGCATATCTTCTTCGGGAAATCTGGAATCAAGAAACCATTGAGTTTCTAAAAACTCCCTCAGACCTCAGTTATTTGTGGTTAACGCTGACGTACAGGGTTGGATAGAGTTTTCTAGTTTATAAATTCTTTTGTTCTTGTTTTGTTGTTGTCTCTTTAGTTTTAGTAGTTGGCAGCTTGCTAGGTTCACTTGATAAGTGGCAAGTTGTCTTTTGCTTCCTCTTTTTGGTCTGTTTTATTGAGGCTGGGTTAGAGATCAAACTTCGGTTCCTTTGCCTTGCCTCTGTTGAAGTTTGTGTATTTAGTCTTTGCTTTTGTTGTTAGTTTTCGATTTAAGGTCACTTGTGTTATCACCCGACTCGGTAATCCGAAGTTGTTAACCTCAAACCGCGTCTTAGATGGATTATTACCAGCAATGATATGGCCAACAGTTACCCCGGTCCGCATACCGAACCGGCCAAGCTATAGAAGACCGAGGTGACCCTCACCACCGAGGTCATCCCAAAACCGAAGTCTCTATGAACCGAGGTCGCCACCTCCCAAGCTGGTGACAAGGCGCCTACACGCCACCTTCACAAACCACGAGGTCAAGTGGGAGCCACTGACAAATACCGCCCCCAAAAGTAGCTTTATGAAAAAAACAATGCACAAATCCCGATATGTATCCCAAAAAGTTACTATATATAGCAAACCCCTGATACTTGTACGGGGGATCCTCGAACCGAAATTTTTATCATGCAACCACGAAACAGCTCACAGAAGCTTTTCACCTCGGTTCACCTCGGACCGGGGCCATTTTTGAATGTTTAATGCATGTCTTACGTTCAAACCATCAATAATCGTCAAGTAAACCTATTCTCAAATCGTTGTTAATAATCACATAACAACAGTTTGGCGCTAGAGGAAGGGCTCATAAGTTATTTGAGGTTAATCTTCACCCCTTGGCTCTTTAGCCGCAGCAACCACTGCAAACATGTCTCATTCAGATCACCATGGGCATACGTTGCATGAAGGGCACAGTCGCAGCAATCACTCTGCTAGGCGTCCTGCGGCTATATCCAACCTGCCAGATTATACCACTCTGTTTAAAAATCCGGAGTTCGCACGTGGGTTTGCCGCCTTGATGGCCCAAACTGCTCCCGGGATGTCAACGACAGCACCAGGACAATCTATCATCCCAGCTACCCCTGTAAACCCGAGAAATCCGTCTACCTGACGAGACGGCGGTGGAGCTACGTCTCACGCTACGTCTCAGCCTCGTAGTCGAACATCACCTCCACACCCAGATCGTGTAGTGCGACATGCCGAGACAGCGCGCACTCCTCCGGTGGTTCCTCATGAAGAAACCGCTGAAAGTCAGTCGGGACAGCCACGGCGTTCTCCACCACCTGCGCGGCCTCAGACTCATTCCCATCCGGCTCGCACAGACCTCCGTCAACAAATTGAAAGAAATCGGTCAGCTCGGCAAGAATCTACGGAATTGGAGG